CCCACTTCTCGTCTCTATCTCCACCTCCTGCCCATTTTTCCTTCCATCCCAAACCTTCTTTATTTTTTTGAAAGCTCCTCCTTCCTTTGCCTCCTTCCTCAATCCTTCCCTTCTTCCTTCTGAACTTTTCCATCCTTACTTCATTTCCACCTTTCTTCTTTCCATTGCCTGTTTTCCAGGGGCTGAGCTGGGATTTATCTAAATTAGTGGTCACAGAGGGACCATACTTTATACAGCTGGTCGTGTTATTATGCAGGGGTTGTCCTCCCTCAGGAAAATTTGAGAGTAGAAACCCTGCGCCTCTCCCATTTTTGCGTTTTCTTCCAAATTCAGCCAGTAAAGTGCTATGAAGCAAACAGGGGCACTTCAGGGGCCAATCAGATTTCGGAGAGGGCCAACGCCTCTCCGGCGCTTGTTGATGAGTGTTTTCCAAAGCTGAAGAAACAATCGACCAATCAGAATTTAGGCCGTGAGATTAAGATTAAGAATAAGAATAATCTTACATCTAGTTTACTTGTTACATACGTGAAAAAAGCGGCAGAATAAGAGTCGGCAAGCGTGGACGAGATCAACACAGCTGTTGTTGTACGTGTTGTTGTGGATGCACCAATAATAACTTTTACATTGCTTTTTTTGATCAATGTGAAAAATGTTTAGTTGACAGCTTCTAGCAAGACGTTGTGGTGACAGAAATGTCGACCCCTCCCAACAAGTAATCAGCTAACTGGTTTCAACTTCCCTTTACTCCAAATTATCAAGTTAGGCACTCGGCTCAGCTCTATTTCTCTATCCCTCATGCTAAGAAATCAATTGGCAACAGAGCTTTGTTCAAATGCTTAAAGCCCCAGCTGACTGGAATAATTTAGCTATTGATTTTTAGATCCCTACAGTATGATCACTTGGTTTGTTTAAGCAAACACTGTCTTGGAACCTTAACATGGACTACTCCTGTTATGAATGAAGCTGTCACTCTGTAAATATCCTGTTCTTGTTGTTTAAAACTGATTGTATTTTTATTTGGTGATCCACTCATACTGGTTATTCTGTATTTGCCATTTTGAGGATGTAATGTTCTTTAGGTTTCCATAATTAGCATTATTAGTATTTTGTTTTGTTCTGCACATTGACATATTGATAATAGTATTTCTTTATTTTGTCACTCCTCTCTTCTAAGGATTATGATATGTTAGGGCTCCCTCAAAAACGAGACTGCATCTCAAGGAGTTTATCCTAATAAACAAATCTGAATAAGCTAACATGAACACAATGTCAAACTAAATAAATAAAGTAAGACAAAATGCCAATAATTCTTTTTTTCTTTCCTTTTCTTCTATGTCCTCCTCCTCAGGCCCTCCTCTGAGTCCATCTTTCTTTCCTGTTTTGTTACCTTCCTAATTCTTTCTTCTTCCCATCTTTTTTTAAAATATCCACATGAAGCTATTCTTCTTGGTTATAAACTCACCAATTTGTCTGAAAAAAGGACAGATTCAATTTGGTTTTGGAGTAAACCGGCAGACGGAGTTTCTTTTCGCTCTTTTTATTCATATAACTACCAAAGTACTCCTCTACAACTCTCTTTCTCTCTCTATCATCTGTTTAACTCATTTCTCTCTCTGTCACATTCTTTCCGAGTCCCATTAATCTCTGCGCACACACACAGTGTAAACTCTCAGTGTGTTTTCACGATGAGATTTCCCATGATGCCGTGGGAAAAACAGTGGTGTCGTTCATCACTGAGGATGAAGTTTAGAGATGTCTCACACACACACACACACACACACACACACACACACACACACACACACACACACCTCTCTGGAGGTTGCTGGTTTGAATCCCTCTCCTGATACTCTGCTCAGTCTTCTCCTTCCTCCCCGGAGTTAAATAATTAAAACTCTGCCAGATGCAATTTGTCGTGATATATTTTGGAAAAATGGGCCACCTGACTGTTCACTTTGTTTCTATGGCAACCGGCTACCATCAACAGCACGGATGAGAAAGTGTCAGACACTTACAAGCTACTACTGCCAAACTTTACTACTACAACTGCTATCAACACAGTTAATACTTAATGTGTTAAAATCACCTTTTACGGGAGAGCTCGCTTCTACATGAATTAGTCATCCCTTTATGCAGTCTAAAATAACATCAAAGTGATTTGTCATTTATTATTATTAAAAGGAAGAAAAAGGGGTCTTTGGTGAATTATAAGAAATACTCGTCCACCCTCTGGAGGGTTGTGTAGTTGTAAAAAGGTAAAAAGTTTTTAGCTTGCAAGCAACGATCAGACAGAGACTTTTAGCAGTGTTGTTGAGTCTGTTAAGACTCTTCAGCTGATCCAGAATGCTGCAGCACGTGTTCTGACAGGAACCAGGAAGAGAGATCATATTTCTCCTGTTTTAGCTTCTCTGCATTGGCTTCCAGTAAAATCCAGAATAGAATTTAAAATCATTCTTCTCACCTACAAAGCTCTTAATGGTCAGGCACCATCTTATCTTAAAGAGCTCATAGTACCTTACTACCCCACCAGAGCACTGCGCTCCCAGAATGCAGGGTTACTTGTGGTTCCTAGAGTCTCCAAAAGTAGACTAGGAGCCAGAGCGCTCAGCTATCAAGCTCCTCTCCTGTGGAACCAGGTTCCAGTTTGGGTTCAGGAGGCAGACACCATCTCCACCTTTAAGAGTAGGCTTAAGACTTTCCTCTTTGATAAAGCTTATAGTTAGGGCTGGCTCAGGTGAGTCCTGAACCATCCCTTAGTTATGCTGCTATAGGCCTAGACTGCTGGGGGATTTCCCATGATGCACTGAGCTCCTCTCTCCTCTACTTTCTCTCCCTCTGTATGCAACCTTATCCCATTATTGCATGTTACTAACACAACTTCTCCCCTTTCTGGTAGTCTTGTGCTTTCTCGTCTCTCTCCTCTCTCCTATCACTTCCTGCAGGTTTTCTGGCTCTGGAGCTGTGGAGTCTGGAGCTGTGGTTGCGGGTCACCTGCTGCCCCCGTGTTCCTGCTCGACACCCTCTGCTGCAACGACTATTGTTACTAGTCCTATTATTATTATTGTTATTATAATCATTAACATTACAATTGTTATCATTAACACTACTATAAATATCTGTACCATTTTTCATTTAGTCTATAGCAACATCACCTTTACTGTCTGTACCTCTGTGTGTATATTGTGTAGGCTGCCTCCCTCCTCTCTCTCTCCTTCCATCCCTCTCTCTCTCTCTCTCTCACCCCAACCGGTCGAGGCAGATGGCCGCCCACCCTGAGCCATGGTTCTGCTCGAGGTTTCTGCCTCTTAAAGGAAGTTAGAGGTTTCCTTGCCTCTGTCGCCTAGTGCTGCTCTTGGTGGGAACTGTTGGGCTTCTGTAAATAACATCATAGAGTACGGTCTAGACCTGCTCTTTTATGAAAAGCGCTGTGAGATAACTGTTGTTGTGATTTGGCGCTATATAAATAAAATTGAATTGAATTGAAGAGTAAAGACCATACCATTATCTTCACCGGCCAAATTGACATTTGCAGATTGCTGTCTGGCCAACCCATTTTAACTCACAAGTCGTCACACATGGACACTTCGTCAAGACCCCTTGGCGTCAGTTTGTGACCCCTTTAGCGCCTTCAGCATATGTCAACCCTCCCATATTTTACAGTGTCAAACCTTTCAACCTTCATGAAAAAATAAAAATAAATCTGTTGTGTGTTTTTAAAGGATTTGCTCCATTCCCTCTGGTAAAGTAGGTGGCAGTATGTAGAACATTAACTGTAACTGTGACGGGAAGTCAACAGCTCCAGGCAATAAAACAATTATAAGAAGAACAGTGGTGCAATGAGTCCAGAATTGAAGATGCAGGGCTCTAAAGAGTATTTTACTCGCATATCCTTCTTTAAATAGACACCTGTGGGTAGGTTGAAACTAGTGGTGAACTACATACGAAATAATAATGAATACAATCTTTTTTAAGCCTAAGTAATATATTAACATTATACCAACAGTATACCGTGAGATATACTTTTATTTAATGTTAGAATATTATACTACTACAGTCATTTTACAAAGCAGGTGTACTATATAAGAGAAGTCTGACTGAGGAATCAGTTGGGGTGGGCAGATGGGCCAGCAGACTAGCGTTCGTTTCCGTTTGAAACAAAAAGTCAACATTTATTGTTTTTAGTTAAGTCAATTAAATATTGTAGTTATTTTAACCCAAACCATGATGTTTTCCTGAATCTATCCAAGTAGTTTTGGTACATAATCTTAACCAAATTACAACATTTCACAGTCTAATCAGACATTGCATATTTATTATTGCGAACAATGCTAAAGGGTACCGAGGGCGTTAAAAAGTGACACCCAGGAATCTTGACCAAGCGTCAATATGTGACAAGTTGGGAGAGATAACGTTTGTACAGAAATTTGAAAAGCATTTTAAACAGCTGTACTGTATTTTGAAACAGCTGGTAAACACCAAAGCTTTCCGTTTCACGACTTTATATTCATTTAATAGATATACCAATGTCAGTTAGACGGTTATCTGCATGAGAAATGAACATAGTAAATCGGTTATAATGATCAATTTGACCCGGACAGATGGGATCACTATAAAAGGTTTTCACTGTATAAAATGTGCTATCATCAACAGTGACACAGCTTGTTTGAATCTTGAAACCTTGAAGATATCATTAAAAGAAAACTTTACAATTTTAATTTCCAGAGGGGAAAAAATATAACCAGAGTCAAAAGGAATCTCACCATCTTCCTCAGTGGATGGAATTGGTTCAGCAGTTGTAGTGATAACTCACCGGCTTTAAAACTCATTTCATGTCATGGAGATAATTTGGTAATCATCATGTGACTGTTTTCTATGAAACTTCACACGAAGCGTCACAGAGATGTGTGTGCATTTGGCAGAAACAGGCAGAAAATGACTAGGAGCCCGTTCTCATTAGTTGTCCCCTGAAAGTACCGGATAGAAACAGACTGGATGACACACAAGGTTAACCATTTTAATATCGTCCAATCAGAAAACACAGGAAACCACAGCAGTGCAAACAGGAAGTAGGATTAAACTCTGCTCTACGACTTTCCGTTTCCGTCACAGTTTGGTCCTAAGTCATCGTCATTATTATCTCACCACCCTTTTCATCTACTTCAACATCTTAAGTTTTCACATTTTAATTTTAAGTACCATATTTGTATAATTTCCAGTATTTATTGTACATGGGACAGATTCATTGTGTGTTTTATGTCTGTAAACCAAATTTCCCTGACGGGACAACACAGGTTCAAAATGCACTGAATAATTAGCATAATAATTATAATAATACTAATTAGCTTTTTCACATCAGCAATTATCATTAGTGACTTGCCATCATCATAAAATCTATCATTGTTATGATTATGATCATAATAATTTCAATTATCATAATTTTAATCATCATGACTGGCACAGCAGTCATCACCACCACTGCGGCTGCTGTTATCTTCATCATCATCTTCATCACACACGCGCACACACACACACTGGACACACAGTGTATAGAAGCAGGCAGGCCCATTAATTCATATATGGCTCATTATTAACATCAAAGCCGGATCTAACAGAAGAAGAATAACTTCAAAAAGTCTGTCAACAGGACAGAGGATCACCACACCAGACAGAAAAGTTCATTATGATTCATTTGAAGTTCTTTTCCAAAATTCTTAAAAGTTGCTTCTCCAAAGATTTATCTGGACTTTGGAGATGGCCCCCTCAAAAGGTCCTATAGGTGTAGTTTTCCAGCGTTTTTGTGTCCAGCTCATAGTTTCCAAGACTCTGGACTCTACATTTCAGTCCATTATTTACATTTAAAACTCTGAGGGAAAGCAGGCATCCACACTGTAAAATCCATTGCGCTGTAAAGTCCATCACTTTGGAAGAGCCATATCCCATAGAGTCCATTGCACTGCAGAGCCCATTATAGTGTACAATCCATGCTGCAAGAAAATCTGTAGAGTCTGTCGTACATTCTGTCACACCGATACAGGGACTGTCTAGAATCTATCGCAATGCAGAGTTCCAGCTTTAATTTCCATCGTGCCATAAAATCTGTCACACAGTAGTTAATTTCTTATGACAGAACCGGTCACTTAGCAAGCAACGTTGTGCATTGAACAATCCATCACACTGCAAAATTAAAAGCCTTGTAAGGTCCATCACGCAGTGAAATTTGCAGCCTTGCTGACTCACACTGTAAATTCCATCACACCACAGAATCCATCATGCTGCAGAATCTGTCGTGCTGTAAATTCCTACATGTCCCATTTAAAAAGCCACATCATCTGCATATAATGACACTGAACATGAGCCAGATATTCTCAGTTGTCTTGTTGGCCACTTCTTTGCCCTGATTTTACTACCCTCAATTTATTTGTCCATCTGGAGACACAAAAAAGGGTTGACTGAATTCTAACCACTGATTGGCTACTAAAAAAATGTTAGTGTTTATTGTTATGACTTTAGTTTCTGTCCAGCAGCTAAGGCAGAAGTGCTTCATCCAACAACTTTCTGGTTTTGTGCTTTGAGATCTGTTGAGTTTTTGTTGAGTTCTAATGTGTTTATAGTCCAGCTGACTCCTTCAGTTGCCCACAAAGAAAGATTCTCATCCATCTGTCAGTTCCTTTATCCATTTAGCCCCTCAAATGAGTTACTTTAGTGTTTAACGAGGTCTCGAAATAAGGAGAAAGTTCACTGGCTGAATTTTTTAAAATTTATTATTTTTTATTTTAGTTTAAGGCTATGTTCACTTTCACCCATTTCACTTCCTAAAAAAGTTAATGTAAATTAGGTACTTTATTGGGTGACAAATTCCAACAATTAAATTAGAATGGCAGTATCCACAGAATTTGTAGTTTTGAGTAATCCCATGATGCTGAAGGCTTTGTCTATGCTGATGACGGACCACATGTTAGCCATTTGACAATGAAACCGTATCAACAGTAGCCCAACATTATGCTGTTCGGTACTTTTCTTCGATCTTAATTTACTATGAAATTTACAAATGCAACAGAAAACGATTAAAATTGAGGAAGAACAAAGCTTGATGGTGGTGAAAGCTTGTAATTTTTTGAATATTTTCTCTATTTGTTTGTCTCCATAGTAAAATCAACAGCAGATAACTAAGAATAAAATTAGAAGAAACACTGAAAGATATTTGTCTAGAAACATCCCTTGTTCTCTTTGTCCTTTTGCTTTTCTGTATGTTGTAAAATCAAACATTTTACATGTCTTTTTAAGACTCATTAAAACAATATAGCACACACACTGAGGAATATGCTGCTTCAATGGACTACATTTACCATCAACACTGACTGGACATCCACATTAAAAATAACCAAATTTTCCCTTTAACTTATTGTTCATTTTTAATTTATGTGTGTCCTCTGACTGTGACACACTTTGTACATTTGTATTTAATAATGGCAAAAAAACACTTAAATGTATAGATGGCACAGAAGACAGAGTTATAGACTTCTCACAGGGGAGACTAGAAAATGGAAACTGGAACTTTCAAATGTTAAATTCTTGGGTCAGTTTTTGTAAGGGCTATCCATAGTTCCTATTCCAAGTTCGTCAAACTGACTTCTAGCAAATATATATAAGATATCAGATTCAGTCTCTCCATGACACCTTTTATATATTATATCCCATCATGCCTGTCAGAACACTTTTTTGCCTCGTTAATTTGTTTTTACTTTAAGCGATTTAGTTTCCAGCTCTGCTGGTTCAAACCCCAAAACGGTCCACAACAATCCCTGCTATTCAGTGGAAAATTTATCTTCCAAATCTGGCATTCTCTGTGGTTTAGAGGTAATATTTGAAGGTATTATAAGCTTTTATATTTGAAGTACATTTCTGAAGCTAGGCTGCAACAAAGCCTCACAAACCATTTCCAAACTGCTGTTGTTTTTGATCCTACAAAGACAAAGCTGCTTTTAAATTCAAGCTGCAGCAGTTTAAATGTTGTGGAGAGTTAATGAGTGTGAATGAGTCCTCTGAGTGCTGTGATCAGAGGACACCAAACCCATGTAGTGTTAATTACAGCTCTGTTCAATAATCGACATGCACCTCACCGATGGAAATCTGCCGTTTAATGTAGCGAATACAGGAAGGTCTGATTTAAACTGTTCTGGGTCTCTGGTTAGTGAGGAATTTGGATTTGAGCTGAGATGGGTGCAGGCTTCCTCGTAAGTCAGCCCACCAAAAATGCAGGAAATTACAGACATGAAATGTCTTCCTTGTGTTAGAGATTGTACTTTTAAGAGTTTTATGTTTTGGATGTTTTCCCTGATTTGTTTCAGCTGATATCAATTATAGGTTCAAATTAGACAGTCACAGTTCCTGTTCAGTTCAGGTTCTGATATTCAGACCTGTGAGGACCTTTAGCTCAGACATGAAAAGCTGTCAAGAAGACAGGATTGCTAACTGCCTTGCAGGGGTGATGAGACACTGTCAACATCTGTGTCACCTGACCATACATGTAACTTAATGCCAAGTTGCATCACAACACATGTCGTATGTCTACCTTTCAGTATATCATGTAAGTCAGGAGGGTTCCACAGCATTTTCATTATGTTTGGATAATGTATTAAGGTTATTTTGTAGTTTACAGAAAACTTCCTGAAAACCTAGTTTTGAAGTCGATAAGCAGCCGCACCCACCATTACCTACTGCTGTAATATCTCATCCAAACAAATAATCTATCAGAAATAAAGTTTGAAAACAGATTTCTTTAAAAGCAAAACCAGCTGAATAAGTCAGTCTTTCTCTTCATTCTGTCATTTTTCCTATTCTGACTGCATCAGTCAGCTAGCAGAGCATTAGCATTAACTTAGCAGTCAGTTCACTCTAGCTAACTGGTGTAGCGTTAGCCATGGGCGGAGTTCGGAGGTTTGCGCAGCCACTGGTAGAACTGCCGCCGGTGGAGGCGGTGCCAGCGCACGTTGCTTTCAACGATCTCCAGCGCCCGCGGCAACGCAGGCCCTGCACCCATGCTGCTGGACTGGATGAACTCCTTTAACTGAGGAAAGAAGGGACGGGAGAAAGAGACGAAGACAGTGGAAATAATGGAGGAAAGGAGTTGAGCAGCCATGGGATAGTAGAAATGGTAAGACAAAATATGAGGAAGGATGGAAAGAAAAGGAGACAACAGAAAAGTAATTAGAATAATAGAAACCCCTCTGTGACACTCAAAGAGATAAGAAAAGACAAAAATATTGCAGCCCCCAGGAGACTAAACAGTTCATTACACCCCATAATATGATAGGGTTTGAATGAACTAACAACACACATCCTGTCCTGTAGTTAGAGATGTTAGTTTTGTCCTAAAGGTGGTGCTAGAGCACATATTTTAGTGTCATTAAAATTTAAGGGTTCATTCTTTGGCTTCTTCTCCATGGCAATGGCCGGCCAAGGTGCACTGTATTGTAGTATTTAGACCCATACGACATACCAAAATAACGGACAAAACATGATTTCTCAGACACAAAGTTAAAATAATTAAAACAGGTGGACATAACAAAAAAAAAAATAGGGCCGTAACATTATCCGGGAGAGTCCCATGTTTCTATGAAGTAACATTAAGGATATAACAAAAACCAAAACCAGCAGCCAGTCACACGTCACATTAGTGGAAGGAGTGTTTACATACTTATAGCAGATCTTATTCTATGGCCCAATCCCAATGTCCCCCCTAAGCCTTAAGCCCTGAACCCTCACAGACTTTACAGAGGTCACTTGGAAAGTGATTGAGTGCCCGAGTGTGCAAGGGCTCAAAATGCTGTAAACAGGAATGGGACAGCACGTTACCTTGACGACGCTGAAACACGTTGCACACTTTTTATTTTATGTTTTTGCCTGATTTTGAAGTCTTGCATACTCTTGCCCTACATAGCGGAGGAGAGGTAAATGTCAATCTGCATTTGTCAACAATCAGTGCATTATTGTTGGTCAAAACAGCATCATTCAGCAAAAACTAAAATGTGTAATAAGGTGATTGCGTTCCTCTGACTTCATATGTTCTATGTACCATCTTAAATATATGTTAAGAAAAATTTTAATAATTTTAGCATCACTGTTGGTTTCCATGCTTGTTTGTTTACCGTTCTTCTTCTTCTCTTGTGAGATTTGCTGTGATATTTCTCTCGCTTCTGGGTGTCCCCTGGTAACCCCCGTGTTTCACGTCATACCGCTATGAACTATGGGAAATTCCCTCAGGTAAAGTCTGCAGAAATGCGGACTTACGAAAAGGATTTAAAAGGGGCTCGCACACTATTTGACTCTGGGAGCGCCCTAAGCCCTCACAGACTTCCGGGGAATGCACCTCAAAGTCTGTGAGTCTGTGAGTGTGAACATTGGGATTGGGCCCAAGTCCTTATAGGCAAGTCCTGCCACTCGGCCGCAATCTTGGCAACGCCTCCTGGCAGCTATTTCAGACTAACAAGACCATTCTCTTATCTGAATGAATGGGGAGAGAGCCAAAACTGCACTTTTACTGGTCACCATGACATAAAAACTACATAAATAGAATCAGTAGTAAAATCTAATAAAATACCTGACAACTTTGCTCCAAAATAAGGTTTAAAGAGTTTTTCCCGACCGGTTATACTTCTACTACTGGGTTATACTTCAACACTTCCACGCATGCACAGTAGAAGTAAACCAGACCCTTACGTCAGTGGAACCACACAATTGGCTGAAATATGAGCTTTGGCTGTTAAAAGCAGACAATTGGCTGTTTAGTGGGAGGGGCGGGATAACTGCCATCTTTGCAGTTACAGACTTTCCCCATAGAGTTGTATTGAGGATGTGACTGAGTGGCGTGCATCCCCTATATAACGTCTCTGTCTTATTGTAGCCATTAGTGCCAAATAGTCAGGCAGCCAGTTTTAAATGACAGAAACATCCTATCAAGAGAAAGTGAGTTGTTAAAGCTAAACTAATAGGTAAAATTTCTAGCATGAAAGTTAGGGTATCAAAGTGAAACTTTGTTTTAACAGACAGTAATTAAATGGACAGTTTCCAGCATGAAAGGTGAGGTATTAAAAGGAAACTTTTTTGTTGAAAGAGAAACTTTGTTGAAGGAAGGAGGACAAACTTGATTTTTATTTTTTTTTCAAAGTTAAGGACTGAAGAGGAAACTTAGCGTTGTTCAGGGTTTGACAGATTCACTGGAGCGCAGGAGAAAATCCATCCCTTCAACTCACTTTAATGTAGTTCATATCGTTAACTCTGCACTCCTCTGCTCTCCTTTACTTTCCACTCCTCTATCTGTTCCCTCTTTCTCTCCCTATTTTCTTCTCCTCTACCCTACAATTCAGTTTTTATTTTTTAACTCCCAAGACACATTTTTTAAATTTGCTTAGTGGGTGGAAGCAGACTCGTTTTTACTTTTTTCATAAAACATTTTCTAGAAGATAAAATAAAAAGGCCCCTCATTCTTGTCATTTGAGTTTTTGTATTCTGGGGTCCCGTATTAATTCCTAGTGATTCTGTTCAGTCTTCACAGCCCACGCTGAGGGTGTTTTTTGTTACCACATAAATAGGAGTAGTAGAGATCTTAAACAAAACTGCTTCAAAAAGCATTCATATTAAAAACAAGAAAGTCGGATTCAAAACAACATTTTTTTCTGTCACTTCTCTGTAGTGTTTGATTTCTTACTTTCTTTCATTTTATTTCTGATTTCTACTTCCTCCTTTTGGAAAAGCATTCTCAAGTTTCATGAAAACCACTCTATTAAATAAAATATATAAATATGTGCAGTAGATGTGGAATAAATTACAGTAACAGTAACAATTAACAGGATTGCTGCTCTGTTCTCTTTGAATAATCAACAACATGATTATTCCTATGATGTTAGGTATTTCTGGAGAAATTATTAATGCCATGATTAATCAGAAGTACTTGAGTTTCTGCAGTTAACATCCTAGCCTCTAAAAGCCAAGCAGGCAGACAGAAAACATGCTATTTTCAGTCCTGCTAGCATATATGATACCAACATTAATATTAATGCTGATTGCTGACTTTCTTATCGTAAACATCACAGAGATTTGTGGATATGAGCAATTAAAAGGTCTGTGGTGGTGGAGAACCTATGTAAGAGGGGACCATTGTTCAGTTAAAAGTTGACAGCATAGGAGTTTATTAGGCTTTGTAGTAATAATTTCATAAATTATGATTTTTATAGTTCTTTGAGAAACAAGTAGATGTTTTACTAATCAAACAGAATCAGTTTGGACACAAAGTAGTGATATAATGATCACGGATCGTCCACCAAATTACATTATTAAAGTGATAGTTCAGGATTTTTGCACGCTTACCTTCCAATCAGACATCTAGTTCCTTTCTCAACCTTCTGAACTTCTGTTTTCCTACGCATATATGCAATTTGGCTGCATACTGTATAAAGAAAATTGCTGTCTGATGGAAGGTTAAAATATTCTAAATATATCGTACACTTGAATTGATACTGATTTTTTTTCCAGTGAGCCTTCTCGTAGGTGGCTAAAATATGTTTTGCTGCTGAGCCTGTCCACAGCAGTGCAATGCTAAGCTTCTGTGCCAGTACATCTCTCTGCCTCTCCAAACTGTGGACACACTGACTGCCATCTACTGGTCTGGCCATTAACATTTGTCATTGGGCATTTCCTGAAATGAGTGATTTTATGACACTGACACTATGGTTGAGGTTTGTTTAGGCACAATAACAACTTGAGCTGCCTTTTGACCAAAGGAACTATACCGGAACTGGGAACCTTTGGAGGCACTCACTGCGTTTCCACCGAAGGGACCAGTGTCTAAATTTAGTTTTAGGGTCTTTATTTTACCCCCCTAAAAGTCCCTGCTTGGGTGGTAGTACTTTCCGAAAGTACTGGTACTTTGTGGGGGTGGGGCTTGCCTTGCAGTGAATTTCTGAATGGGCGAGTAGAGGCTACTGGCTTTAAATCGAGCATGTCGGCTCTTCTTCTACGACTGCTGTGCTCCTCGCTTTTCCACCTTTGACCAAAGTCTCGCCGATCTCCGTCTGAGATTTAGGCTACGTCAGTATTAAATTTATTGCTCGGAAACAGCAGCCAGCGTGTGTTTACAGTGATAGTACAGGGTGCAGAGTTGTTGTTTTAAGTTTTCATCAGTCAGGAAGTTTCTACACAGAGTTGAAGTCTCATCTTTTCCAAAACAAGTGGAACAGCTGATTACAGCAGGTAATAAAGCTCGTTAAAAATCCCATTCCTCTGATGCTCAGGCAGACACAGACCTGTCCTGCAGCTGATCTGCAGCTCTTGTCGGCTGGAAATGTTTTAATAACCTTCCAAACTGTCGCAGTTTTATTTTTGTGTTTCTTTCTCTGTGCTGGAGTTATTTCATGAACGTGATGGCTTTATCAGGTTTGTTATTAAATTTTTTACGAACTTCATTGTGTGTCTCTCGCTTATACTCTCACACAAAAATGGTTTTAATGGTCAAACAAAGCCTGCAGTTTTTCATTATATTCCAATCAAATCTGATGCTTATTTATAAATATTGCTCATGGATAATGGGTACAAATAATGATGCCTGTGCATCACTTTGTACGGTGTGCAGGCCTACAGCCTGGGTCAGCTGGTTAATTTGCCTAATCTTCACAGGTCTTTAGACCACAGTGGAAACGCACACAACAGTGGGCTGAAGGAACCTTTTTGTTCCTTGAAAAGAGATCCCAGGTACTTTTGGTCGAAACGTGGCTTTGGTTAAGGTTAGGGACACATCGTGGTTTGGGTTAAAATTACTAAGGGAACCTTCATTGTCATGGTTAAAATGATTACTACTTGCTTAACTTTAGGGAACACTCAACCAATTTTGAGTGTCAGTAGGAAACAGGTATGTTCATCCATCCACTGTTAATTTCACCCTATGAGGACTTGGTGGCTCTATGAAAATGTCACAGTATTCCCTCCTTTTCTTTTCAATTTTTCAACATGAATGTATGTCCTCACTGGGCATTTTCTGAAATGAGTCATGCTGTCATTTTTCTTGTAAGGACAGCCTTGTTATACAAGTGTGACTATACTGAACAACAAAATTGTCTGGTGTTTTTTTTTTTAACCACTGAAGCTTACACTGCCTGGAGCAGGATGTGATGTTTTCCACGTTTGTTAATAAAAGGATATCATTGTGTCAAATGATCTTGAACTCCTATCGGCACAGATGAGAGGCAGACACAAGATGTATTCATTGTGTTCATAAGGTAACTAGATCGAGATATTGCTAATGTTGGTAATTTATGCATTCAAACAACTAAGAAGGGGTAGTTTAGCTGTCACATACATGAAATTCCCTTATCTTACCATTGTATCTTTGAAGCCTGTTAGAGTTAAGGTTTGGCAGAGGGTGGAAATTGGCCGCATTTACCTGTAAACCTGCCCCACAGAGTTCCTTCAGGACCTCAATAATGTGTATGTGTGTTTGTGTATTTACCTCATTGAGTTCTCTGTCAGTGTTCAGGAACTCTGTGACTCCACTGATGAGCTTTGAGTTCATGAACAACGCTTCACCATAACTGAACAGAGACAGCGAGAGAGACAGTTAGTATTTCAGTTCAGCAAGTATTTTGTTCACTTAGAGTGCAACATGTACAGATCCTCCACATGGTCCGACTCTCTCAGTCCCTCACCGTGCATTGAGGATGTCCCACTTTTCCCTGAAGTATTTCCAGGCAAGGTTTCGACCCTGCGGGTTTCTGCCCACGTGGATGATGACATCAATCACATCCTGCTCTGGAACCAGGTCAGAGGTCAAAGAAAGGTTCAGTAACCTGGGAGACACAGAAATACAGCCAAGTTCAGTAACCATGTTGAGTAATTACAGAGGTTACAGAGGTAATTACAGAGTAAAAAAAACAGCCATTAGCTGTAAATCTGTACAATGGAGTATTCCTGTGTGTGCTATCACGTGGTCATCAAATGCTTCATATTTAAAAAAACTTTACTTAAGCTAGCATGGTAACAAATATCATGCTACTGCTCATGTTCATGTAAATTGTTAGTATGCTAATGTTTTGTGGCATGCTAAAACAGCTTGCTTGCATATCTTGAAATGTTCAAGCATTGTAATAAACCGCAACATGCTTACTAACATATTAAAACATTAGCATGTAGATTTTATGTTAGCATGAATTTCATTATTGTATAAACTGTACATGCAAAAGTATTGACCAGTGAGTCACACGTTCACTTAAACTAGCAGAGTAGAAGTGTGATCTTTGTAGTGTCTGTGTAAAATATTATAATGCTAATGTTTCATAGCATGCTAGAAAATTAGCCTGTGGACCATAGCATGATTTAGCATGAATTTTAGTATTTTGCATATGTTAAAATGATATATAAATATAAATAAACATATACATAAATATATAAACATTTGCATGTTAACAAATTTTACAATGCTAATCTTAGCTTTTGGGTAATATTTTAGCCCAACAGTTAACCACAAATGTAAATTAAATATTAGTCCAAACATTAACACACATTAGATTGATAATTACTAGCTGTTGGCTGAGTTTAAATGAACAGAGACGTAAACTGGATTCTTCTGAATGCAAGGGGGGTGGGGAAGTGGGTGGCAATAAAAAAATATTTTTAACTGTCAGATGTGTTTCTCTCTTGTCATCAGAAAGCCATAGTATTAAGCTGCCAAACACACAAACACAGGCTGTGTATCTGCTTATGTAAAACAAGCAGAAAAGGTCACGTTGCCAGATGGAAATTTACATTTTGTACCTTGAGGGTGCTTCTGTCAAATCATAAATCACTCCTCTGAAATGGTGACACGACACAACAGCTACAGTAATCTGATTACTCCCCGTTTGTCATAGTTTGAAGAAATTCATGGATTTACAGAAACCTGGAGTATGGGTTGTAGAACAGTGATAATTTGGACGTGTAAACACATTAATCCAAGTGTTTTTTAAGACTGTGCAAGAGAGAAAAAGCTGATGTTCATACATCTTACAACATTGTGTTTACTTTCACCTTCCTTTACTTGTTTCCATTTCTCAGTATTTTCCTGTCCCTCCTCTGGTGTGTGTTTGTGTGTGTGTGTGTGTGTGTGTTTGCTGGATGTTTGTAGCTACTGTCTTTTCATTAAACCCCCAAATCAATTTTCTCTTTTTTCCCACAATCCCTCAGAGTTGAAACCATTTCCTGTGTGACCAATCAGTGTGTTTGTGTGCTGTGGTTTTTGATTTCTTGTGTGCTTCAGTGTGTGTGTGTGTGTGTGTGAGATAGCTGCAGTACTACCTCTCTGATTGCAGAACAGTTTACTGTGGCTGGAAAATCAATACCTGACACACACACACCAATCTGTCTCACTGTACAGTTTTGAGTATGTGTGAGATTTTTTATTTTCCTCAATGAAAGATAGTGGCAGTTAGCTCCAGACAAAACACTTCTCTTAACACACACATACACACACACATACAAGGCCAGATTTATGTACATGTACCGCCTCTGGCAATTTTTCACTACATCTTTCATTTAATTTGCTGTTTGTTTCGATAAGAGTGCACCACGAAAATAATAATAACTTGCTGCAGTTAAAAAAAAACATCACAGTTACCTTTCAGTCAACTTAGATCTTTGGTCAAAGTTTTGTTAATATCATACTGTAACAAGTTAAAAGCAGTCACCCTCTTTCTTACATTTAAACATTTGAGGACTCAACATTAGAGATTTGGGAGTCATCTGCTGAAAACTCCGCTGTCAGAAAATCTAACTTAAGCAGACATAAGCAAACAATAAGGCTCATGATATACTTGTTTGCACCCATTCATCTTTTTATATTAACAGTGGGTCCAAAACGAAAGTCGGTTGTTTGCATTGGCAGACCTGCAGAGAATTATCACCAAACTCTGCAGTTCCCCGCAGCTCTACAGAGTGTTTTACTGTCTATCAATGTATTGCTTTAATTTTACAGCCTGCAACTTTACTGTTTTGGTTCAGTCTCACTGCTCTCATTAATCTGGTTTCCAGCAGCACCAGGCAGCTGGTTTCAGCAAACAAATAAGCTCTGATAAACACTACCCACCCAGCACCAGCTGGCAGCAGCCGGACTCAGGCCCCATCCACACTACTGCGTTTTCGTTTTAAAATGAGACCTTTTGCTGTGTTTGCACCTCCCTTCCAGACTAAAACCGCGAAAATGAAGACCTAAAACGGAGAAGTTACCAAACGCTGCCGACCCCGTTTTCGTTTTAGTGCGGACGGATTAAAATGAAGGACTTCAGAAACGATGACGCCGGCGCTCACCTTTGGCAGAAACAAGATGCTACTGACGGGAGTTTTTGACTTGGTATTTTTATTCAAATATTTGTACTGTGCAAATAACACTGTGTATGTTGCCGTTTACTTTGCGACGACTCCCAGTCTGTTTTCCGCCGCCACAGTCGCTTTAAACTCCTGTGTTACATTCAGTAACAGTCCCAGCTTGTTTTTGATCCGTGCAAAAAAATTTGGTATGATTCTTTGTCTGCATTTATTTATTCTTTCGCCAAATCTTCTGTAACTACGGAATAGACCATCTGCTTCATGTTTAAACTGGGAACACGCATGCCCAGCGTATGTGAACAGCTACTAGATGTGCGTTAGCAGTCGTTATCATGTAGAGGCAGATCAACTCTGATACGTAGCTAAAATGCTTGTGTGGACGGAGATCGTATTTGTTTTAAAACTCTTTTTAAACAAAAACTGAGTAGTGTGGATGGGGCCACACTTAGAGGCTAGCTGGTGAAGAAAGTAAAGTTGCAGGTCCGGACAGGAAAACAATGAGCTCTAACTTGCTTTTAAAGCAAGCAATTGTTCAAACAAGCTGTCTTATACATCATTTATACATATTTATCTTTTGTTGCAAGATTAAACCATCAAACCTGACACACGCAAACACAAACAGCAGTGTCATTTGTACCTGTTGAGGAGGAAGATGTTGTCTGAGCATGTCAGAGCCTCCAGCAGGATCTTCTTCTCTGAAACGGCGTTGGTCGAGTGAAACTTCATCCAGATGAACTCCCACACGTCCTCGTCCATCAGACTGACCCCAGTGCAGTAAACTATGTCTCTGATGTTGGGAGGAATCCTACAAAGGACACAAAATCTAGCCATCACACCGAGCCAATCTGCCACAAGACATTTCCAATACAGCAAAATCAAAGTGTGCGTTTGTGCAGTAAAAGCAGCAGAGCCAGGATGTGAATGTGAGAGTCGACCAGGAAAGTAATAAAACTAAAAACCCTGATAAGACACATCCACAGGATTAACCAGGACTCTCTCTGGACACTAAGCGAGAAATTCAGATTTCATTAGGGAGCTCCATTAAAAAATCCCTTCGCTTCTCCTGTGGACTCCTCTGGTCATAAAATGCAGAGACAAGACAAATTTAAAGGCACTTTCCCACCAATTGGGACCCTGACAAGTCTCAGTAATGCTAACTGGCATGTGCACTTCTGAATATATTACGTTGGAATACTTTTGGAGTTTGAAGAAGTACAGCAGTAAGTACTGACAATATTACTTCTGTCTTACAAGTCCTTGATATGCGCCATGTTTGAAGTCAACCTGTTAAATCATAATCTTAAACCTTAAACCTCATAAATCATAATCTGGTCAGATTTATTAATGAGATTATCTAATAACAGATGGGTGTTCTTAGATACTGAGCCAAGATTTGGGACCCTACCGCTGGGCTTGCTTGGCAAACTGGTTCCAGACGTGGTACCTGAGTAAGTACTTGACCTGACCTTGTAAACGAACACATGGTGGCTGGGCTCATGCCGTGTTGATGTCAAATATTGTTTTTCCGAGCAGCTGAGCCGGAAAAAAACATTCCTATCAGCCTGGAATTCAGAGGGCAGCAACAATATCTCCCACTTGGTGAAAAAGTCAACAATCCAGTGCCTACATAAGTAAACCTTTATATGTGGCAGTCACATCTAAATAAAGTCCAATATTAATACAAATATGATTGATTCAGATAAACTGAAAGCCATACACAGTTGTTGTCTGGTGCTCGTTTGTATCTGGTTTCACTTGTTAAGGAACTGCTCCAAATACATAACATGGCTCATTTAGGCTGTAAATCCGGAGTGACTACAAAGCTATCCAACGTGTTCTCATCTCAGGGCGTCATATTTTGTATATTTGTCTGTATTTGACGCCCTGGGATGAGACCATGCTCAGCTTTGTGTAGCCAACCATTTTGGAATACATCCAAGTCAGAACAACCAGAGGTTTTCTGGTTTTCGACTCTTTTGACTTTGCATGAATGTGCATAAGACCTGTGGGTTAGACGTAGGAGCAATGCCCATATAAACTCAAACTACTTAACCTTAAGCCATTTCAGTCTATTTTGGACCACTGAAACTTATTTTAAAACTATGGTTTTAAGTTTCATAGCCAGTTCTGATAACATTGTCCCCGTTAAACTAAATGCAGAGAATCACTAAAATAAAAGTGTGGTCACACACACACACACACACACACACACACACACACACACACACACACGAGTGGTCAGATGATTCAACATGTTGTAAACAAGCTTAAATTGAAATATATTAACTTTGGTGTAAAACTGAAAGTGAGCACATCCATAATCTTACTAATAATACTCCATCACACTGGAAAACCTTAACTATATACAACTACAATAAATTGAGCAGGGAGTGGGTTTGTAAATGAACACTGTGTTGCAATAATTGAAATGAAATAATACACCCATAACCTTTGTTTTTTTACTCTTAAAACCTGCCTGATCATCTGACTGTCTCACAATCATACAGAACATATTATTATTTTTTCCTCCCCGTTCTTGTTTTACAGTGTAATACAAGTAGAGACAATCATACAAAATGTGAATTTAATTCTGGTTAAACACAAACTGCCTCAGTTTATTGGAGGCAGAGCTTGTGCAGGATGAGCAACAGGAGCAACTACTCATAGTCTTGGAGTTACTACAGGTAACTACCGTTTCTGTTGTTGGGTGTTTTTATACACGAAAAGTACAACACTGACACACACACTCTCTATGCCCCAGCTGGTTACTGGCCTGAATCATCAGTATAGCAAAGTTACACATTACCTTCACACTATAATGTATGTGTGTGTCTGTGTACGTACTTGACCCAAATTGTCAGCAAACCAAAACCAAAAACTTTCATCACAATGCAGTGAGCTCAGCTGGCAGCAAAAATTATATACTGAACGCTGTGTGTGTGTGTGTGTGTGTTCTGTGAGAGTGCAGAGTGAGTGATGCGGGGACAATTACATCATTCACCGACCTGGGAAATCATTTTAGAGATGCTCCACTTAAGAGCAAGCTGCAAAACACACACACACACACACACACACACACACAGAGGCTAACTTCCACATTACTGCTGACAGTGGCTTAAGTCCTTCTCAGACGACAGCTGCCAAACACAGTGTACTCAAGTGTGTGTATTTATGAATGTGAGTGTGTTTCACTAGATAACACGTTGTCTAAGCTACCACCAGGTTATTTATCATGTAAAACATTAAGTACTACTGAGACTACTGCAAAAGCTACACTTTACTTTACTATGATTTTCCTAGTGGACTAGTGGTCTAAGTTCAAGCCATTAGTCGACTAGTCGTTACACATTTCTGATGTGATTTAATTGTTAAAATATGTATTTTGGGGGCAGAAAATCATTCATTACAGAGAAATACAAAATTGTAATATATACATTTTACACGGGGCACGCAGCGAGCCGCCTGTTAGCGACAAACAGTATTGATTTTGAATGTGTCGGAACAACCAGCAAGGAGACTGAACATTTTGTTAATTTATTTCAAAGCAGTAAGTCTTGTTTCAAAATAAAATCCAACATAACAAGAACAAATACTTGCAGATTTGGATGATGATGTATGAAATTACTTTTTAACTTGTTACAAACTCGCTCCTCTCCCGCTTCAAGCCTCTCCTGTCCTCTCAAAGGTCTAAGGTGCAGCTCCCGAACAGAGTTTGTTATTTTTCTTGCAACTAACAAACTAATGAAAAGTTGGTCGACTAAGACTCCTCTCATCAACGGTTTAGTCGACTATTAGGGGGCAGGCCCAACTATTTAGTGTACAGCTATTATTACTATTTATCACTTGTACTTCTGCAGCCACTGCTGTTATTCCAAATGAAAATAACAGTAATAATGTAGAGTTTTTCTCTGCAGAATATAAAATAGAGGAACAGAGTCTCTGAAAACCTCCAGATGGCTCTGATCCCATTAACTAACACACTGTGTGTGTATGTGTGTGTTTTAATAGTCTGTAGAGGATGTTTTATGTCCTAAAGCTCTATCTTTCTCCTGAAATATCTCTCCCTCCCACTCAACTCTTCCTTTGCACCAAACTCCCATTCTGACAGTAAACATGTCTCTCTCCCATCTGCTCTGTCTGTCTGACTCTGCAGTCTTAATGTCACTCTGAATTTTAAAAATCACTCCGCTGGAGTGATAAAACATTTAAACTACCCGACCCAGCAACTCGGTCAAGTAATTAAAGCCTGACTAAAGAAGACGTGCTTCTGAAGTGCCTATACTTTCAATCCACACCAACTTCGACCTCTGTTACGGCTCAGAACCAGCTGTCCTCTCAGCTGTGTAGGTCCTCAGGTACCGAAAGAAACTGGCCAAACATATTTTACAACACAGACCTCAATCATAAATTTTATAGACAAGAATAGTTTCTAATTAAGCTCCATGAAAAACTTTACGCGCTCATAGTGAAACTTGGGGCCTTGATTGATAATTATATATTTACATGTCACATGTTGATAAAATATTTAAGTAGGAGATTTGAGTGACAGGCTGCCTTCCTAAGATTATGATTCCAAAACATGCAAGAGGGAAAAAAATGAGCAGGGCCCAAATTGAATTAAGTCTAAGGGCCCGGTTATCCTAGAGAAGAAATGGTTTGTCCAATCACGTCAGAAGTCAAAAGTTTACAGTCGTTAACTGACAACCACACAGAAAGAAAAGCCAGCCGTCACAGAGAGGGAGCTCAAACTCAGCTTACTTTCACTTTCACTTTCTGCACAGCTGACCAGTCACATCCTGGAGTGTCTGTGAATGTCAGATTTTGCAGTTTCGCAAAATTGTGGATAGACACAGACCCCCCAGATCTAAGGTAGGAGAGTTGTGGAGGAAACGTTTCCAAAGCCATTTGAACTCCTGACAAACAGTTCTGATGGAGTATACTCTGCCCTCTTTTAGATATTCTTTGGTTTTATTGAATTCACAAAATTATTAATATTTGTTATGATAACGAGGAATACATTAATCACAGCCTCTGCCCAGAAACTGTACAGTTCAGTGGACCTGCAGGGCAGCCGCCCCACTCTAAACTAACAGCTTACATGTCAATCCTCGTTTTTTTTACCTTAATGCCTTTGATCATCATCTGTGATGTGAGAACATTTACACTCAGCAAGAGAAATAAAAACTGTGCTTCCTGGTCATAGTTCAGTAATAAAACCCTAGCTGATGGAGCATCTCTCCTGCTGAGCTGAGAGCGTTTTCCACCACCCTCTTCTGTTTCCATCAGTTTTATAGTTTAGCCTGCAATATTGTTATCCTGCAATGCTCTGTGTAAAATCATCATCAGTGTTTGAGGTGGAAACTCTAGGGTGAAGACAGTGAAAATGACCATTGCCAGTGTTAATGTCTGTTTGAGTCTCTTTGGATCGACTGCATTTTTGGACCTTTGGTCCCTTTTAGATAAGACTTATGAATATATACATGCTGGTTTTCCATGGGTATGTTCTGGATTGGGTTCAAAATATTGGACTTTTGAAGTTGGGCCCTATATCCACTGAAAAAAAAACCATTCATACTGTATTGGACAATTTACGTCCAATGCCAACACTCATTACCAACGCAGGAAGTAGTGTCCCCTATATGTAACAATACAAAAAGTGTGGAGGTTGGGGTGGTGTAAGGGCATGTAGAGGACTTTCACGAAGGAGAGGGAGTCACAGACCGTGTATTAACTTTCAACAGTAGTGTGAAAGGGCTAAACGCTGCCTTCAGCAAGCTAACATGCTAACAATGATTATGCCAAACTGCTGATGTTAAGCAGGTATAATGTTGACCTTGTTCACTATCTGCTAAAATTAGCTAATTAGCAGTTGTTGCAGTTATGTGGTCATAAACCAAAGTGTTGGAAAACCAATCCGTCTTAAAGTTGTTGAGATATTTCAATGTGGACTAAAGTGGTGGACTGACCGATCAACCAACAGGCTATCCCTAGTGACACGGCACTAGCATGGCTAAAACTCTAGTTTTAAGACCTCCATTAGTTCAGTATTATGCTTATCTGTTCCATTAATTTGTGCTTAATCAAATCAACACACAGCAAGCTGACATCAAAGTAGTATTCCAGCATAGAAATACTGAACACAATCCACAGACAGTGAAAGAAACAGGGGTGTTAATGCGGGAACAGCAGTCCATTGTTGTGCCAGGACCCCCTACAAGGTTAATCTATCATTGGCTGCAGCCACAGCCAACATAATTTTGCTATTTTGACCTATTTAGATGGTTCATTTACAATACAACCCCAGTGGGACATGATTAATAATCCTGGGAGACGTAGGCGTTAAAATATTAACTGCGCTTTGTGGTAATTACACTCATTGTTCTGGACAGGATTTTAGCCGGACTCACATTACAGCAGGTGGTTCCTAACACCATTTTCATGCAGGAGACGCAGGTGTGACGCAGGTCTGCTGTTTGACTCATTCATTTCAAAGGCTTATATCTTTTGGTGTCACTGTTCACTGTGACTGTAGTTTCATACACGACTGCAAAAGCACAGAATGAATGTACTGAAAATTACATAACTGTTAAATTTGTCTTTTTTTCACAGTCAGGTAATTTATGAAGCCCGGTCAGGTGAGCTATCTCCCAATAAGACTTAAATTATTGTAGCATTCTGATAAAAAGCGGATCTGTAATTAATACTCGGCCACGGGGATTAAAACCACATACATGTGATCTCCAGATGGGATTAAAATAATTGAATAGAGCATGAAATATTAAAAAATTACCCCTGGAGAGATTAATCCTGCATGAAAGTGGACGTATCCGGTACTTTTCGCATTATTGAAGATGAAGCAATTCCAAATTGGTTCTCATACATAAAAAGGCCACACTTGTTTTATAGTGACGATGGAAAAATGTTGCTTTCCTAAAATGCTGCCATATGATTGTCATGTGAACTGCCCTCTTGTTGCTTGCTTTGTAAATTACAACTTAACTTGGGCATAAAGGTTGTGACTCCAGAACGATATTGTTGTGGAAGCTGGACTTTCTGAAAATGGCATATAATGTATCTGACATTAGCGAGGACGTGGCCTGCTACTGCTCCTTCTCAGAGCTTCTTCTCCAAGAATCCATTCATAAAATCTGCTGGATGGTATCTCAAACAGTGTTTAATTTAGTGTCTTTTAATTTAAGCAGGCCTCTTATCATCCGCTCCCTGCTGTCCTTTAGAGAACACCAGCATCTGTTTCTATTTAATTTAGTGCTTGAAATCAAATTTTGCAGATCTCGTTAAGGACCCAGAGGAAACGAGTGAGCCAATAGCGCATGAGAAAGAAATAGAGATAGACAAAGGCAGGAAAGAAAAGAATGAAAAGCAGAATAAAATGGATAATTTTTTTGCCTTTATAGGTTGTGTGAAATTGTACACGGTAAACTGACTAGGTGTCAGACATGGTTGACTCGACTCCAAATATGAAGATACTTAAATACTCAAATTTGGAATAATACGTTACATTTGACAGGTGATCCAGTGGTAGAGCTACACTTTAGTTGTCTTTCATATTTTATACACATTCCTAAAGCCACCTGTGGCTCCAACAGTCCAACAGCCCAAAAGTTAAATGGACCCAGTCAGTCACTGTGTATGTATACAGTATGAGTGTATGTGTGTATTTGTACCTGTTCTTGTTGCTGGAGATCCAGTCGGAGATGTAGGCGACGGCCTGACGGTGGCACTGTTTGTTCCCGAAGCTACAAGCTAACATGATGAGCTCCCTCTGTAACTCCCTGAAGAGAGACAGAGATGAGGAAAACATTGGTCCTCGTGCAAGAACATTTTCGTATTCGTATCTTAACTTTCTCTTACATTTTTCGTACGAGTGTGCCACGACAGACAACAAGATGAACGCTTTCTGCGCATAACTAGCATAATTGACACCCCAATAATCAGTGTTGATACATTATAGATTACTAGTTACTGTATTTTGAGAGTAATTAGTTATATTACAATATTACTGTCTCTGAATTGTAATGCTTTACACTACTTTTGCGTTTACTTATTTATTGGCCACATAATTCTGATAGTAAGCCAAAGATGTGCCTAGCGGGGGGAGGGGGGGATAAGATGAATCATCTCCCCAGTAAGAAAGACGCTGTGCGCATTTACGCACGAGGTACAGCAGCAGAAAGTCAAGGATTATTTAAATCTCCTGACACTCCAACAGGATCGGTCAGGATGAATGGCAGCTTCTGATCATGAAAGTAATTCATTAAAGCACAAACACATATTGCCTATAGAAATTTATTCACACATGATCCATCAGGGGAGCTACCGTCTTGTTAAGAGGAGCCGAGCTCCTCGAGTTTGAATCCTGCCAACAATCTCGACAATCGGATTCCCGCAACAGGAAATCAGGTTACTCTTTTACTCATGGATTTGTTTTTCTGGTGCCGAAATGTTTCTTGATGTTGGTGAATTATTAAAAAAAAAAAAACACCACTTAATTTCACCATTGTAACGTATGTTACTGAAATTGTAACGGGTATAATATTACCGATTGTTTTTTGTAATATATATATAATATTACTGCGTTACAGCAAAAAGCAATATGTTACTGTAATTTTGTTACTTTCATAATGCATTACTCCCAACACTGCCAATAATACCATGTAAGACTACGCGTCCTGCCCCATATGTCAGAAAGTCTTCATGAAAATGACATTGAAGAGTAAAAAGAAGAACTTTATGAGTTTGGAGATCCATAAAGGAAAGTCATTTTTAACAGTGCCAGCAGTGGACTTAAGGGAATAGCGTGGATTGGTGTGTCTGTTGCAGCTCTAACAAGTTTCACATTTGCAGAAGCATAACCTGTGTTAGTCTAATCTGCCGCAACCTACATAACTAAAAAAAATATTGTATTTTTGGTTCACATGGGAAACGAACCGCAGCATCCATGGTGAAAGTCCAGTTTCTGGCTTACCTGTCCACCCTAACCACCTACTTACACTGACTTTTCTGTTATTTATATCCTTCACCTGGTTTTAGCATTCATAAATGACGCTACGGAACCTCCTTCAGTGCGTTACAAACTTATGCCAAAGGGTCTTTGGCATTGTCCACGTATGTACACGTGTTGCATACTCAGTCTGGTAGGACGCCTGCAGGACATTGCCCTCATTGCCGGGGCCGTTTGTTGGCCAACCCATCTGATGATACCGTGATGCCACCTGCTTCAGCACATAGTCCTGGTAACACACATGAACAGACACACACACATGCCGTTAAACAATAATTGACACCTAGCTGTCAGAGCTGAAGAGACAGTTTATTCTACTAACATGGAGCGATTGCTGACTGATTGATTAATTGATTGACTGACTGAATGGGATAGTAATTGATTGATTGTGCATTTACACTGAACAGGCTGTATTCTTCTGTGCGGTCTAGCAGTTTGTCCAGCTGGTAGAGCGATCGGCTGGCAGCGTGCCATGGCAGGAAGGACGTCTCCTCCGGCAGATAGCCAATCAGCTGCAAAGGAACACCCTGTGGGATGTACCCAGCCCTGAGAGAGAGAGTGAGAGACGGAGGGAGCAGGGAAAAAGGACAGTCAATTTTGAAACAATCTAACAAACTTCGTACCACGCAACAGAAAATAAACTTCTACTGGTTAAAGGTGAAAAACAATTAAATAATGAAACAACAACATATATAATCGATTCAGTTCAAAACCTTACAAACCATGCCAGTTTCAACTTTTCAACAACAATTTTCATTTTTGGCATTTTTTCTCTTTATTGGTGATAGTGCAGTTAGTACAGGTCACCCCTAGTAAACCACAAATTTAAAACTAAATCCAGACTTTGAGTTGTTGGGCTCTTCTACAGACTGTCCACGGGGTCATTGTATTACCTATATAATATAAAATATAAATCTTGATAATGCACACTGATGATTTTCATATGTTTACAAAATCTATTTGCTGTTATTTTATTTTTTATGCAAACAAAATGGCAAGTGTTTTTGTAGTTTTCAATAAAAAACTTGTTGAAATGGTTTCATTGTGTGCATCAGTACATTTTAATCTTTTTCCGCACATTTTTACAATACCTTGATAATACTGATAACCGTGATAATTTTGGTCATAATAATCGTGATATGAAATTTTCATACCGTTTCATTCCTAGTGAACACATGTAATGGTAAATACTAATTATGATAAATGCTAAAATGTAGTGTTTACTCACAGTAGCACAAGTAGAGAAGAGTCATGAAGTCAGTTGTACTAAAGCTAGAAAACAGCTTCACAACCAGCGACCCTGCGTCAGTATGGAGAGGCCTGTGGACACTTACTAACTACAGGAGACCATCCCCCAACTCTGCTGGTACTCAACGACTGGCTGACGAGCTGAATGGTTTCTACTGTAGGTTTGAGAAGCCCTAGAAGAATCTAGATTAAATGACTACAGGCCAGGTCGACCTGACATTGGTAGTCATGAAGTGCTTTGAAACTCTGGTGTTAGCCCACCTGAAGGACATTACAGGCCCCTTTGCTGGCCCTGCAGTTTGCCTACAGGGCTAACAGGTCAGTGGATGATGCAGTCAACTTGGGACTGCATTACATCCTGCAACACCTCGACTCTCCAGGGACAGATGCAAGGATCCTGTTCATGGACTTCAGCTCGGCGTTCCAAGACCATTATCCCGGACATCCTTGGCACCAAAACTCACCCAGATCACTGTGCCAGCCTCCACCTGTCAGTGGATCACAAACTTCCTGACTGACAGGAATCAGCAGGTGAGGCTGGGGAACATCCAGCACCCGGACTATTAGCACTGGCTCCCCCCAGGGGTGTGTGCTCTCCCCACTGCTCTTCTCCCTCTACACCAGTGACTGCATCTCAGGTGACCCATCTGTCAAACTCCTGAAGTTCGCTGATTTAATGGTGGACTCAGGCAATTCTGCTGTTCTGGCGCTTCTTGACCTTACTGCCGCCTTTGACACTGTGGATCACACTATCCTTTTATCTCGCCTTGAACACTGTGTAGGTATCAAAGGTATTGCCTTGAAATGGTTTCAGTCATACCTGACTGATAGGAGCTTCTCTGTTCATTTAGCTGAACACTCATTGTCAGCTGCTCCTCTCACCTGCGGGGTCCCTCAAGGCTCTATTTTGGGCCCTATCCTCTTCTCACTGTATATGCTCCCACTGGGTTCAATTTTCCAGAAACATAATATCTCCTATCACTGTTTTGCTGATGATGTCCAAATCTACTTGCTTATGAAATCCATAACCAAAGAATCTGTGCAACCATTGTTAGACTGCTTGAAGGAGGTAAAAACCTGGATGGAGTTAAACTTCCTCACTCTGAATGAAAATAAAACAGATCATCACGTGTGGACGTTTAGACGTACTGGGTGACCCTCTTGGCACTTTGGGCCCTTTAGCCTCCCAAAATCGATCCTCTATTAAACATCTTGGTGTTATTTTTGACATGTCATTCACGTTCAATAAGCAAATCAGTGCAGTCGTCAAGACCAGCTTCTTCCAGTTAAGACTTCTAGCTAAAATAAAGGCCTATCTTCCTCCCAAAGACCTTGAAAAAGTCATCCATGCTTTTATTACTGCTCGGCTGGGTTATTGTAATTCATTATACATGGGTCTAAATCAGAAATCTTTAAATCGCCTCCAGTTAGTCCAAAACGCAGCTGCTTGCCTTTTAACAAAATCAAAAAAGCGTGAACACATAACGCCTTGGCCTCCCTCCACTGGCTACCTGTCCGTTATAGGATAGATTTTAAGATTTTATTGCTTGTTTTTAAAGGCCTTAAATGGTCTGGTGCCACCTTATCTAGCTGATCTCTTATGCCACCATTCTCCAGTAAGAACACTGAGGTCAACAAATCAGCTGCTCCTGGATGTCCCAAAATGAAAGCTTAAAAATAAGAGCCTTTGCACTGGGTGCCCCCATCCTATGGAACAACCTCCCCATGCAAGCGTTTAAATCGCTGCTTAAGACGCACCTATTTGCAGTAGCGTTTAACCTTCGTTAACCTGTTTTCTGATGTTTCACTTTGGTTGTAGTAATTTTTATACTTGTTATTTATGTATTTGACATTGACCCTGTTCAGCACTTTGGTCAACTGTTGTTGTTTTTAAATGTGCTATAGAAATAAAATTGACATGGTCATCGGCCTCATCTGGGACGGAGCTTAACATGCTCAAAACTGAGATGATCGTGGACTTCAGTAGAAGCCCCCGACTCTGCATACTCAGCAGCCTTCTATCTGCGGTGGAATCCTTCAGGTTTCTGGGTTCCACTATATCCCAGGACCTAAAGTGGGAGCCCAACACTGACACCATCATCAAGAAGGCCCAGCAGAGGATGTACTTCTTGTGCCAGCTCAGGAAGCTCAACCTGCCTAAGGAGCTGCTGATCCAGTTCTACACAGCCATCATCCAGTCTGTCCTCTGCACCTCCATCACTGTCTGGTTTGGATCTGCCACCAAAAAGGACTGGAGCAGTCTACACCGGACAGTCAGGACTGCAGAAAAGATCACCGGTGCCAACCTGCCTTCCATTCAGGACTTATACATTTCCAGAGTCAGGAAACATCACTGCAGATCCATCTCACCCCGGACACAACCTGTTCCAGCTCCTCCCCTCTGGTAGGCGCCAGAGAGCACTATACGCTAAAACCAACAGACTCAGGAACAGTTTCTTCCCACAAGCCATTACTTTGATGAACAGCTGACTCTGACACAGTGTCAGGAACAATTCCTGTGCAATAACCCAGTAATCTCTGCCTCTATTCAGCCACCTGTTTACTGGCTACCACTTATCATTTATTTATTCATCATTCTCTATTTCAGAGTTGTTCACACTGTTCATATTGTATATACTGTATACAAAATCCACCTACCTCATGCACATAACACTGCACATAATACTTATTTATTCCAGCATTCCTTGCACTCATCACACTGTGTACATGTATGCATGTATGTGTATATGCACCTGTATATCACATCCACCTCCGACATGTACTTAATAACAATAATGGTAATAATTTACTCCTCCATCCTTTGCTCATTGCACTATTGTCTCAATCGATCTGTTTTGTTAATATTGTGCATATATGTGTTCTCTATAATGTAGCCTGTGTTTGATTTTATTACTGTATTATTGTATAAGTAAGCACATTGTGAGCATTGTACAATACAGGGTCAAATTTCTCGTATGTGTACACATACCTGGCAAATAAAGCTGATTCTGATTTAACTTGTCATTTGTGAGACATAGTTTTTCTTTTGGGCACCATAACATGCGTCAAATCAACCACACCCATTGTTTTCAATAAAAAGTCTGCATCTTGTCAATGTGTCAGGATGCACTAGGTCTAGTTTAAAGCTTTGATGCAGGTAAAAAACAAACAAGTTTATTAAACTCACTTACAGGATTTGCACATCCCAGCTACCATACTTCGACTACATCTTTATGTTAGTTTTTCTCTTTCTGAACTTTTTTATTAAGGTGCATTCTGGGATATGTCTCAGAGGTGTGTGTGTGTGCATGTGAGAGTGGGTGAATAAACCACAGTATGAACACACTAAGAAAAACTTGGCCTCTAAATGCCACCAAGGCTATTTAGCAGCCCAGGTTACTGCCACCGCTTCATGAATATTAACAAGCTTCCTTTGTGCATTCATTAACATTCATGATGGTTTTATTTTGGGGGGTGGGGGGGGGGAGCAATGCACTCACCTGCTTCCTGCATCGACCTTCAGCCCCACCCACAATGCATGAATATTAATGAGGAAGGCAGTCGAGGACAGAAAGTGAACTCAGAGAGGTGATGCTAGTTTTATTGGTTTTATTCTAACTGTTAATGTTAAGAGAGACTTAAGAGTGAAGTGACCAATGAGAAAGTACTGCAGAGACCTTTATGACTTCACACCGGCTGAGGCCGAGCACTGACCTTTACTGAAAAGCTGTCAATCAAAGTGAGTGACAGATGCACAGAGAAGAAGGTGAAGGGATTTAATGTCCTTTTACTAAAATGTTTTTTGGACTGTTTTTTAATTTACAGAGACAGACAGACAGGTTGAGATAGAAACAGACCTCCACATAAAGTTAATCTGTTTCAGATAAGACTCACTAAGTCTTTCAGGAGCCGAGGAAACTCTAAATTCCAGACCTTCAAATTTCCATAATCTGCCTCATATCCTACCCGACTAACCGCCAGACGTTCATCTCCATTCCCATCATGCACCTGGCCTCTGAGACATTACCATAATCCATCCATCTTGCAGAGACTTCCTGTTTACACTACTTTGAACAAGTGATGGGACTAAACATAAAAACAGAGGGGAGAGATAGTGGTCACCATGGCAGCAGCATCCAGCCATTGATCTGTTTGTCTGTTTATTTGTCCGTAAGTGTTTTCCATTTTTCAACCTGCAGACATGGATTGTCACACTTGTGATCTGTCGTCAAAGCAACAATTGTCACAATAACAAGTGCGTTTTTTCTGTCTAATTGTTTTCTGTGGAGGTCTTTTCA